AAAATTTGAATTTCCAAGGGGTGGGGAGGGTGTGAAGAGGGTATATTGTACTGTTTTTAAAATTTGAATTTCCAAGGGGTGGGGAGGGTGTGAAGTGGGTATATTGTATAGTTCTGGAATTGTAATTTGTAAGGGTTGGGGAGGTTTCAAGGAAGGAATATATCGTGTAGTTCTAGAAGATATCTATATTACCTCCCCCAAAAGATCGAAAAGATCGGGGGGGGGGGGGGACATAGCTTCCCACGGAAGGATAATACAATTTCCAGGGGGTGAGGAGGGTCGAAGGAGGGGGTATATATATTCCACAAATAAATATTTGATTATTAATTTTACTCCGAAGTCTAAGTAAGTCCAATTCGTCCCCAGGCAAAATTAGACTGTGCTGCTTGTATGCACAGACCATCAAGAAACGTAGGCTGATGCCCAATAGAAAACGTACCTTTACACTGTAAAACGTAGTAAACAAAGCATTGATTTATAGACTGCAATCTTCATTCTACGCAAGCGCAGTAGTAAAAGATTTCTTTTCAAATCTCAGGTATTGCAAAGCATTTCCTAGTGATGGTTTCGGCTGTGCTGTCCCTCGATGTCGCGAGAAGCTGATCAAGGAAAAAGATCAGACCCGTGTCGTATCCAAGTTGTACTTACCTCGACATTCTCCTGTATTCTGGTCGTTCAAGGTGAGACTTGGTGTGTCCCACGAGGGGTACGAAAGATTAAGTGTGCCCAATAACTTCGCACAAATTGACGGACATGATTATTTTTTGATGCAGTGTGGCTACCTCTTATGTACCATCGATGCTCTGGAGAAGACGCGCGAAGGGTACCCTACAATCTGTGCGCAATAATTTACCGTGCAATTTTCTCGACCATCGTTTATTGGATTTTCTTCAATGAATTATTGATGGCGTATCCAAGATACCACACAAGAGGCCTAATTTTGGAAAACAGCTACGCGCAAATTAGCGCCTCGTTGAAATTGTCATTCCTTGTTATATCGAAGACGAGATGCTGATCAAAAATATGATTGGCCAGAAAAGCGAGCCGTTTTAGTGGCAATCTCCCAAACCAAACATATCACTGCTTAGATAGACATTTCAACTGCAATAAGCCGCTTGAAACAAGTTAAAAACGGATAAGCCACCATTACCGACGTGATTTAATTTTGGCCATTCTCTATGTTATTTTAAGCTTGATATTTAAAATTCGCGCACAACAGAGCGAGCCAAGCGTGTCGGTAATTAATTCAATGCCTCCAAATGTCAGGCGATTCTGCCTGATGCTAAGCCTCCTTTGCAGCCGTTCTTAGGGTCGTCACGCAACGTTGCTAGCCTCCTTTGCAGCCGTTCTTAGGGTCGTCACGCAACGTTTCCATTGCGTGACGACCCTAAGAACGGCTGCAAAGGAGGCTAGCCTGTTGCAAGCTATTGGCCATTACGAGGCTGATTAAAAGACTGGGTCAAATTTGATTTCCAGTGCACTTTGAGATTGTTTTAGGGGACGACAATAGACCTTATCTAAAACAATCCCATAATGCACTGCAATTCCAACTCGACTCAGTTTTTCCTCATCACCGTAACGGCTAATAATGACCATGATTCTGAAGGCATTTTTGTAACCAGGGTACAGCAACTATTCCTAGAAAACAATCTAAACGACCAGCTACACCTGAGGAATTGGCCAAGGCTCGCATTGAAAGCAAGACGCGTGCAGCATTACTAGCCTGTCAAGCACTGCTTGATGTAGACGAAATGAACGACCAACTGGAACCTACGATAAGACACACCAATGTCTCTCTAAAAAAAGCTGATGAAAAATGTGATGGTGAAGTTGCTGATGGAGGTCAGGGTGTTGAGGGGTCGGCAAAGAGACGAAGAGCCTATCACAAGAAGGTTTGTGGAAGACAAAATGACTGCATATTAAGCTATATATACATGCCTTATAAACAGGCTTTCAATATTCGTCTTCCTCTTTATTTCTCGTTCTTGTTATGTTTTGTCGCTTTGCCTTGGCATTTCTGTCACCTCCGCTTTTCTGCTGCTATTCTTTTTGTGTTACTGCCTGGGTCTAACTTTGAAAATCTTACGGTTCCTTTAGCCTCTAGTCATTTCCTTGAATGTAAAGCTTTTTTTTTTTTCCATGATAGATAATGTAAAATAAAACTAAATCAGAAAGAAAATGCGCTAATATATATATGTGTGTGTAAATATTYATAATATGGAAATGAAATAAAGATTATTATTATTAGGGTCTTGTGGAACTATTTTATCTTTTGGTTTAACTCTTGTAGTTTGCAACCGTCTTGACGAAGAACCTTGCAGTAGCTGAAGAGCCAGTCTACGTGTATAGTATAACAGTGGCAGTAAATAAGCTCGCTAGACATGAGGGTAAAGTACGATCTTACAATGTCCCATCTACAGATGTCTCAAGTGTCTCACTGGGTTTTCTATCGAGAAATCGACTTCCGAAGGTAAGGTAGCTTTGTTTCCCATCCCTTTCTATTCCTTCCCATCCAAGCTCTTCATTCCGGCACTGAAATTCCGTTTGCAATTTAGAAGTTGATTTTTGCGCCTGTGCTTCTCGTTTCCCGTTACCCTTCCTTTCATTTTGTCTTCCTTCCCATCCATATCCCTTGTACTTCCTTTTACCTTTCTTCCCTTTCTTCCCTTTCTTACTTTTCTTCTCTTTCCCTTCCTTAGCATCCYTTTAATATGTTTTTCGTGGCCGAGACGAATTACTACCTGCAAATAATATTCTGCTCATGCGCATTACGGTTCAAAGCCATTTTGTTGCCAGTCTCGTACCTAGCCTGCTGTGCAGACGTTTTTAGTGTCGGCTCGTTCCTTTCCCTCCCCACAAACGTCTGCTCAAACTAGCCTCACATTCCTTCTCGTACCCAGAGCTCCACTGTTTTGTTGCAAATAATACTCTGCTCATGCGCAGTAACGATGCAATTGTCAACATGGCTCGCTTCCCTGTGATTTGGTATGTTTGATAGAAAGCAAAAACAGCCAAAACGCAAAAAGAAAACGGGTAAAAAAAAGAATTCTCACTTTATTCTTCAACAGCTGCCAAACTTCGTCCTCTTCAGCAAAGCCGGCGAGTTAAAGGTATCAATCACTGAATGCCTAAGCACAACTACCCTGAGCCCCGAACAGTTAGCACTGGTCCAGCGGTTCCACCAGTATGTCTATGCTCACATCATTAACATTAATGGAGAGAATGAAGAGCAATGCTTTCGCTTTGATCCTGAAGAACAATCCTTTGGGTGCTATCTTGTGCTCCTCAGTGGGTTATCAGTGGATCCAGAACCAAGTAGTGTTAAATACAGTAGCGAATCAATGAAGGAGGTCAAAGAGGGCACTGAATATGACTTAACTTTACAAAGCTGCAAGGAAAGGACTAATGACGAAAGTGAAACCCAACGATCCTCTACAGAAGAGCTTGGGAATACTTTAAGAGCAGACACTCAAGACACCGCACATGAGAACAGAGCTGAGAATTTAACAATTGCATTTGATTTTCTTGAAGACTTAGAAAAACAGCTTGGAGACTTCAGGAATCCCCAGCACCCTTCAGTAACAGAGACAAGAAATTATGAAATATTTCGAAATCGAGTTGTCACCGCGACTTACATGGCCAAACCAACGAGTTACTTTGTTGCGGATATCTGYTACGACATGACTCCCTTGTCACCGTTCCCGGATCCCTCGGTTGCTGCTACTTTTGCGGAGTATTACAAAGAGAGGTATGATGTAGTGCTGCGTGAAGATCAGCCTCTACTCACCATGGACTGCATTAGTAAGAGGCAACTGAATTTACTGTCATCTCGTTATCAGGATACTAAAGGGAAAAACCTTGCCCTTCCTGATAAAAACTCAAAGAGGTATGTCATCTTACCAGTTATAAAACAATATTTTTCTTACTGCGTTTTTCGATATTCTGCGAATTCCAACATTTCTACTTCTTGTTGTGATATTGGCTTTTCACTGCCGCTGGTCAACAACATAAGAGATTGACGTCAGTGAAAACTGAGCTATATTTCAGCGTGCAGCTCACTCTGAGTTCACAGAATATCGAAAACCGTAGTAACATATATTATTCAACCATATACTCACTGACCCATCTATTCGTCTATCCACCCGGTCACCGCTTCGGATCCCCACTTTTACACACACCTATCCATCTATCCACCTGTTATCCCACCCACCCATCCACCCATCAGTTAATTCATCCATCCACCCATCCACACATCCTTTCATGGACCAACTCATCCATCCATCCACCCATCCTTTCATGGACCAACTCATCCATCCATCCACCCATCCATCCATCCACCCATCCTTTCATGGACCAACTCATCCATCCATCCACCCATCCTTTCATGGACC